ATTTTTTAAATCTATTTGACTTTTAATAACGATAATATTAATAAATAGTAATAGAGTTCGCCCTAATTCAAATCCACCTTTGGGACCTGGAAATTTGGGGTGGTCGCGTACAGGGTTAGCTTTGTTATTAAGATGTTATTTGGGGTGGTCGCGTACAGGGTTAGCTTTGTTATTAGCATGTTATTTGGGGTGGTCGCGTAGAGGGTTAGCTTTGTTAGATGTTGTTTGAGGTGGTCGCGTAGAAGGTTAGCTTTGTTATTAAGATGTTATTTGAGGTGGTCGCGTAGAGGGTTAGCTTTGTTATTAGCATGTTATTTGGAGTGGTCGCGTAGAGGGTTAGCTTTGTTAGATGTTATTTGTGGTGGTCGCGTAGAAGTTTAGCTTTGTTATTAGGATGTTGTTTGAGGTGGTCGCGTACAGGGTTAGCTTTGTTATTAGGATGTTATTTGTGGTGGTCGCGTAGAAGTTTAGCTTTGTTATTAGGATGTTGTTTGAGGTGGTCGCGTACAGGGTTAGCTTTGTTATTAGGATGTTATTTGGGGTGGTCGCGTAGAGGGTTAGCTTTGTTAGATGTTATTTGGGGTGGTCGCGTAGAAGTTTAGCTTTGTTATTAGGATGTTGTTTGAGGTGGTCGCGTACAGGGTTAGCTTTGTTATTAGGATGTTATTTGGGGTGGTCGCGTAGAGGGTTAGCTTTGTTATTAGGATGTTGTTTGAGGTGGTCGCGTACAGGGTTAGCTTTGTTATTAGGATGTTATTTGGGGTGGTCGCGTAGAGGGTTAGCTTTGTTATTAACATGTTATTTGGTGCTTTGGAATTAGAGGGGTCTCGAATTCGAGTGCACTGTAACACAACAATATCCCCCACTATGACAAACTAGACAACACTAAATCTAGACTTTCACCCAAAATATCTACAACCTCTGAAGAATTATATTCTATGCCAGTGGTCCAACAGTGACCATTCATCTAATGTAGTCCTCATTTCTTGCGAAAATCGTGTTTAGTGTGGTACACAACTCCCACGTTCTATTATTTTATAATTAATTTGATTTGCATAAGGAAGTTTCAAGGTGGAAATAAAATACTGCACAAAATATTGCTACGAAAATGTTATTCAATGGTAATGTGTATTGATTGTAGAACTTTGTTATTTAAGTTCGCTTCTCACTTATGGGCGTCGCCACTTAAGTATAAGTCTGTCTCAAGTTGACCAATGGTTTTGCGGGTTTCCTTTACTAAGGACTAATGTTAAGTTGTTGTCTGGTTAACAGTCTAGGTTTGTGAGTTTTATCTTTATGCCTATGTGTTGTCTGGTCAACAGTCTGGGTTTTTAGAGTAATACTTGTAAACTCCTCTTTAATTCGGTTGTAATTAACAAGCCTGTAAACCATAATCCCACTACTTTTGTTTTTGTGTTTTTTCATTTTGAAATTGCAGGTGAATGCATGTCTGTAGATTCTACTACTTTCTTGAGATTTTGTTTAGATACGGATGTTTCCCTTTTCCGTCCTCCCTATTAAAATACAATTTTGTATACCTCATCTAAAATGATGAAACAAATATCCAATCACAAACAGATAATTTTCGCAGAGTTACAGAGATTTTACTAATCATGAACTTGAATAACAGACAATTTAAGTGGCTATGTAAAAATACAGGAAACAAACGTATTATTTAACTGTCTGTTAATTCAATTTATTTTATTACAACATTTTAGGAGAAAGTAAAACACAATATTGTATGCCCTCCATGATAATCAAAAGACTATTGAGGGTTCTCTTTGACATCATATAAAATAAAAAGTTGCAGCTCATTTGGGGTTTATTCGTCCAGCCTACATTCTTTAGTTTACAGATTAAATGGCTACGGCGGTCCTTTCACCTGAACTGAAGTTGATGTAATGTTAAATAAAACTATATTTGACTACAATTCCAGTGTTTTATTTACTACCAGACTAGTATTCACTACCGGTATTTGTTTTTCATCAAACGAATCTCACGTTTTCTTTTTCTTTTTCCGTTGTTCTTTATATATTGTGTACTGTGTTTGCGGATAACAGGCCTAAAATTGTATTATATTGAATTGAACACACAACCTTGGGATCTAAATGTATTTTAACCATCAATCCACAACTTCACAATATGCTTACTCGGTTATCGCCTTCAAACGCCTTACTGTGACGATTCCCCTGTCACCGCTCAGAACCAGGTCACCGTGGTCACTCTCCCGTATGTCCGACATCGTGCAGGATATTACTAGACAGGCAATTCCCAGGGAGTAGGCCGTACACTACGTCATCGCCTCATTCAACTTGTTGAGTAACATTTATACAGATAAAGACCGGCAAATTAACAGCATATTTATGTCTTGCAATATTAAATATGCAATTAATTAACTTCTAAGATAGGATTTATTTCTGAAGCTTAATAATTGTGTTCTATTTTAACCTTTAAATTCCTAAATTCAGTCATTCATATACTCATCAATAATCAACATTTCGAATTCACATTGAACCTGCCCTAAATCTGAAATGCAAAGGTCACTGAAGTAGAATGCTCTTCCATTTACTGAAAACACAGAGGCCTATCAACAATTAAAGATATACTGTCTCAAGAAATGTTTAATTGTTCATTTAAAGGAATTTACAATGAGGCCATGAGACCTTGACCAAAACAATCCAGTTTCTGTCAAATTATTCTATTTAAATTCTATAAACGTACAATTAACGTATCTGCAAGAAATTTGTATTAATTTTATTATTTGTTAATATCATTAGGCCTATATATTATCATTTATCTATCATAATTATTATAACTATTAGGCCTACTATTATTTGATTCAATTAGGCCAAATTCGAATAACGCCCCTTTTAGAGCCTTATTTGGAATTACATTTTTTCTAACATGGTTGGGATCAATGAGTCTTTATTATCATGCAATAGTACATTTTGACAGTAGGTATGTGTTGTAGTTTAACATTTTACAGTGAAATTAAGGGGTGTTTATTGGAGTATAATACATATTCATTTCATACCAAAAAAAATAAACGCCTCCCTCGAATAAATTCCCCCTCAAAAACTCCTTCACAACAATTAACGCCCTGGGGCGTTTATTCGGAAAAAATACGGTAAATTTATCGTGTATAGTTTTAGAAAAAGGCATCATTGCACCACTAAACATTGTATTCTGCGCTTGATTGATTGATAATATTAAGATTACTATGATTGCATTATTATTAATGTATGATAATTAGTTTATTGTTTTGTATATTATTAAATACAGTATAGAATTTTTATACTTTTCATTCAAATCAAACACTGATTATCCTCATAGTTCTTACTATGAATGAAGATTACTTACAATAAAATAAACGAATTGAAATAGTAAAAAAACAGTATATTAGCCATATAATCTAAACATATACATTGTATTGAGCTTCATCTGGGCATCCATACTCATTAATAATTATAAACAATAATAATTTAATAATTTAGAATTCATATAGTGTTATATAAGTTAATATCAAATGTGCTTTGTTTTCTAAAAAGAGATGTTTTAATTTGAAATGTGCATGTATTGGTAGAGTTCTGGAGAGTAGTGGCTGCATTGGTTCGGGAAATATAAAGTGTTGGTGATGGAGAGGGTAATCGGTAAGGGGTATATTTGGGAATGTACAGAATATGGGATTATAGGGAGGCTGTGCAAGGAAGAGACGTTTGAAAGCAGAATTTGTTTTTCATAATAATTTTCATCATCCTGCAAAAGCCAATGACATAAGACTTATAACTTTTTAAGTAAACATAATGTAAAAAGGCGGCAAGACACTCGTGATCGATATAATGTTCAAATCATGTATAGTATAATCCCGGGTTGGTGTGTGGGGGGGGGGGGCGGATCCCTTTGACAAATTCTCACCATGTGACTTATCATTGCGCCACAGTTACGTCATTCAACATGAACTGCATCCGATGCTCTTGACCTCTGCATACAACTTCGCCTACACTGAGGTCATTGACCTATCCAACTTTCAAGAGTTTCCTTTACAAGCATTAATAAGCATCAAGAATAATCCTGGTACCAATTTGGTCCCTTGTGGAATTCCACAAGTGATGTTGATGGTAATGTGTTTGAATTTAGTGCTCATTGCACACGATGGAGATGGTGTATGACCTAAATCCAATGTTAATGAGCTTCTTAACTAGAACAGTAAGATGAAACAGCGACGTGTTACATTATGGAAGTAATGGCACGACACAGAGATCCACAAAGTTACCATTGATATAAAGGTCAGATAGAACAATGTTTACCATGTCTATCCATGCATATTAGACAACACCAGTGGCGGATTCGTCTATCTATAATCAGTCATGAACTGATGCGCCTCTGGCGTATGCTGCTGTTTTACAAGAAAAAATAATATTGAACATATGCATCTGAAGTGCTCAAAAATGGTAATGAAATGTGTCAACTAGCAGCTCTGTAGTGCTGCCCTCGTTTCCCAGTCTGCCCTTCCCCCAGTCTACCCCTTCTCCCAGTCTGTTTGATGTCAAGTTCTTTCAGAATGTCCTCAGATATCCACTTAATCAAAGATGTCTAAACAAAACAGAAAACCTGGGTGCAGGAATGATTATTATAGGTCATTCCAATATGTTGTATTATTCACTTTGAGGATGGCGGTAACTGTAGCTATCAGAAAAAGCGCCTCTAATATTCAGGTTATCCATCGGTTGCATCCATGGAGAGGAAAATCAAAATTAACATGCATCTGAACGCTACTTAGAACAGAAACAAACTTGGTGATTTTGTCATTAGCCAAATATACTTATAGTAGAGTACTGTAAAATAGAGGTTACTTTGGCAACATGTTACAAGGATTAATAAACAAAACTAATCAATAATTTTTATGTAGACTGCATTTCATAGAATAGTTTGAAATGCAAAATGAGGGCATAAATTTGATTGAAAACACAACTACTAATGACTACGTATCGGCAAGAAGATAACTCATCATTCCTCTTTTATTTCATAAAAATATTAATTTATCCATATCTTGAAATACCAGTACAACACACAAGTTGCACCATTGACATGCTGAAGATATTATGTGGTAGGATACCAAAAGTAAAACATCCTGTATATGACTCTTTCACATAATGGATTTTCCACAAAACCTTGTCTGCTCTAATTTTTCAATATGATCTCATTCAACCGCCATCTTGATACTATTCTCTCATTTTTCCACTCCTATCTGGTATCCAACCCCCTCAATAACTTTGGTTCAATTCACAAAATCTTCATCTTATACATATTCATTAGATGATATATAATCTGCCCTCATGAATATTCATCCTTTTACACAATCTCCACCTATATTAACTATCTTGTACTTGAGCTCAAGTTACCACTTCTAGTACAGGTGCAATTTCATTCATTAGAAAATAAATTGAAATTTAAGTGGTCTGTTTATAGAGTTATTAATAGCATGGAATTAATGCATTGCAAGTTGGTCTAGATTGATTGTGGAATACAAAGATGTACATGGTTAACTGGTAGAGTAATATCATGGAATTAATGCATTAAATCTGTTTTGATTTACCAATGACAACAGTGGCGTAACTGGCATTGTAATACAACAGAACTAAATCGGTGAATGCTGTGATAGATTTATCAGGAACCCATGGGTGTTGTTCTATTGTGCAATGTGGACGTCCCACGAGATAACAAGTCTTGAGTTCTCAGAAACTTTATCTTACATCATCTCTTTTAAATACTGAATATCTTTAGATTCATATGGTGTAACTATAAAACAAACTACCTTCTACTCCTGCTGGTATCATAGCTATGTAATTCTATAGAGCCTTTCCTTTTGATTGCAATTTGGTCCATTGGAGCATTTATGCCCCCCAAAAATCACGGTCAAGTAGTTAAAATCACCTAAAATCACCTTATTTGGCAAATTAGCCCCCCCCCCCCCCCCCATCAGCATCCCCATTTCAAGACTTTTAGATATGCCACTGGGTATGTCTATAGTTTCAAGATTTCAAACAGAAGTGAATTCCTTAGCAATCTACTTATGGGCTCTCAATAAATATTACCCTGTGAAGATGAGTTGACACCTCCATGCTGTGAACTAGATATATAGTACATTCAGCACACTCTGATACCCTAAACATGGAATTAATGCAGGCTTGCATTAAATAACTATTTTTTGGCAATTTATATTAGTTTATATATAATACATCTTCATTTATTTCGTGTTAGTGTCCTTTGTTTCTCAGCATGCTCAACAATTTTCTCTTCAACATACAATCCTTTGCGTTTTCTTACGCTGTTCATGTATACGCGAGCTTGATTGTCCGAGTCAGCTTTTTCACCAAAGTGCAGCAATTCTTCCTCTGTAGAGGGAACCCAGAAAGGGTCTCCACGGACCACCTAAAAAAAGGAAATATTTTTTTATTTCACGTACTATTGAAATTTAGCAATTTTAAAATAATACTAAACTTATTCACCAAAATCTGATGATATAGTTTGCCCACCACTCTCTTTCCTAGAACCCTCAATTTGAGACTACTTTTTCTGAGTACCAACTACCAATCACCATTGTTATTAAAACTAACCCTTTAATTGGAGACCGAATCCCTAGTTACCAAGGTGGTCTTGAAGTGGATAACAATCTCTAATACCTCCTCCTAGGTAGGGGACCCGGGATTGGGCCATGACAGACGCACCTTATTTTATTGTTCAATTATCATGCTTTTTGTTTTATAATTTGGTGTAAAGAGCACAGAGGCACTTCGCAATATGTGCTATATAAATGTAAATTATTATTATTTATTATTATTAATTATTATCTGACATACGATCAAACAAATATTGCATGGCTCAAGCAGCTAATAAATTGGCTATTGGACATGTTCAATCAAACCTTTTAAGCCTGACAGACTAAAATAATATAGCGTTTGTTTTGCTTGTTCTTGACTAATTTCTGAAGGATTTTTTTTTTTAAATTTAAGATTAGCTTTATTATTTTTATTTATCTTTATTAAGATTAATTTAATATTTAAGATTAGTCCAGGAGCCTAATTAAAGGCCTTGGCCTCATTGGTTCCCGCACTTGTTAGTGCAGTAGTAGTTAAAAAACATAAATTACATTTGGTATTTCCATTCATTGATCAAACAATTAAAAAAAGATTTTTTTAAAATTCAGTCACGTTTGAAATTTATAGCAAAATATTTAGTTGGTAACTGATAGGTGCCAAAGCTAATAAATTTAAGGTGTTGAAGGTTAATATTAATTAGAAAATTTGCCCTGAGAAATTAATTCCATTTTAGGTTCAGAATTACAGTTACAGTAGTCATTTTTATCTCACACACATAACCCACATACTGTAAAATGAAACATTTGTCAATGGAAGTGTTAATAGCGTAAGGGGTGGCACCAGCCTTAGGCCAACAGGGTGGTTTAAGCTGTCAAACAAAGCAGAGGTCAATAGCATCATGAAGCGAAGACTTGGGGGGGGGGGTGAGGGCTCTAAGACCATGACGGTAAGAAATGTCTGGTCTATTTTAAGCTGGTCTGGTCTATTTTAAGCTGTTTGGAGATTTTTAAAATGCATTTGATGTTTTTTGATCCAAAAGGTTGTGACTAATGACAGGTTGGCCTGTCCAATGGGTTGGCTTAAGCACTTCTTCCCCCTGGAACTGCCACATGTACTGTAAGTATACAGAGCTATGTAGTCAAATAACTAGAAAGGTAGGTAGACAAATATGATAAATGGAAATATGGAAGGATAGACAAATACACATAGATGAATACATTTAGAAATTTCTTTTGTCTAATGACATTTCTCTCAGTTCATCCAAAACTATTTTGAAAAAATTTAATTTCAAGGTGCTAATGCATAAATTTTCTTGTAGATTGCATGAGGAAATATCTAATAAATTTTTAACAATAGAATAAGGAAATAAAATTCTACGGAAAATTTCATGCACATAATCTAATTAGTATTGATTTATTAACTTACCACTGTGAATATGCTAATAAATTCCTTTGATCAATATTTAACATGTTAATATAAAATCTGCCAATGACCAGGAAGTAAAAAACTAAATAAATTAGAATTTCATTTTTGATATTGCATCATATTTCTCAGTTCATTCAAAACTATATTGAAGATATTTACCTCCCAGTTGCTAAAGAAAAGTTGAGGGCTGGCCTGTCCACTAGTCTTCTTGCGGATTTCCTCAGCAAATCCAAAGCTCTCGGCGACAGGCAACACTGCTGTGATATCAAACACTGCGGATCCCTCACGCATTTCCTCTTTCAGTACTCGACCATTACGTTTCGACAAAACACCATACATACGCCCTTTAACATAAGAAAACAATGGAATTTATTAAGATATTAATATTATGTAGGATAGTTTTGGCGCAGTGGCTGTGGGTCTGCTTCTCAAGCTTTAGGTCGGAGGTTCAATCCCTCGTGCATTTTGCTGTGTCCTTAGGCAAAGCACTTTACATATGGTTGTCTATATCAACCTAGGAGTACAAGTGGATACCTGAAAGGTTCAAACAAAAAATGCACTGATTACAGCTGCAACATTATGGAATTCTCCCCAGGGACCTGAGCATCTGTTGCATACAGTATGTGCTTGATCCAATGACCAGGGGCAATTATGTTAAGCACACAGAGGTGTCTACAATATGTGCTCTATAAGTTGGCCATTATTTTTATAATAGTAATATATTTTATAATATGTACATATCAGACATTGACAATATTATTACATGTCACAACTGTAAAACTATGACTGTGCAAGATCATCAATAATTTACTAACTACTGTATATTATCAGCTACAAACTTTCTTTATAATTAATAGGCATCAATAAATATTGTATTCACATTATCGGGCAAAATTTATCATTATTTTGTAAAATTTCATCTGTAAGAAGCAGAACTATTATCACACAATTATATAATATATGTTGGCAGCTGGGCGAGGGACAGAAAAATAACTGCAAATTACCTAAAACCTCTGCTGTGGCTTGGATGTTACATGTATACATTGCTGCCATCAGCCGTTGTGGTTTAACCTGGTAAGCCGTTCTGCATGCATCTTTCATCGCTGATATTATCTGCCCTGACAACCTTCCATAGTTCAAACCAGAATCTTGCAGTGTACATAAAATACTGCCCTCTATAGGTGATGTTGCCTCATTTTCTTCATTTTTGAGTATGGTCCCTGATTTAGGGACTTCATTTGATGTTTTATTTTCTATGCAATCACTTTTAAAATTGACATCTGTTCCTTGTGAATCTTTTGAACTAAATTGACTAGTTGCTGGTGTTGTACTTCCCTCTACTGTCCACTCTGAGACAATAAAACAGAGGCCCATCATAGGTTCTTCACAAAGCGGGCCAGCTAGCGTGGCTAGCTGAAATCCATTAATTATGCTATTATCAAAATCTCGTAATTTTTCTGTGTTATCCGAGGAATCAAGTCCAAACCAAACTGATGGTCTTTGGTAGTTACTGACTTTGTTTATCAAAATATTCGGCCCACATTGCTTAGGGCCAAATGACCAAATTTGGTCAATACATCCACGCCATCTTTTTCCAGCTTCTTTAAAACCAGCTTCAAATTTCAACTTCAATTCTTTCAGTTTTTCTAATGTTTCCAGATTCAAATTCTTGTCTACCTTTCCTGCCAATTTTGAGGTTGACAACTGCTCCAAGATTCGAATCAATTCAGTGTTTTCCTCCAACAATTCTGTTATTCTTTCAGGTAGTGGTAATGCTTTCACAGCTAAAGTGCAAAAACTCATTGGCGTGGTGATTTTAACAGTGCCATCTTTCAGAATCTCTAGCGATTCCTCCTGAAGATCATCCAGCAGTCTGGTCTGAATCTGTATCTGGTTGACATCATCAATGACTTCATTTACCATGTCAATTTTTGGAGGGTTGATGATTGTCTCACGGAATGGAATGATTGGTGGGGAGACATTGATCTTGATTTTTGCAAATCTGCAATTAAAAATCATTTACATACATTCACATTTTGTACATCACATTTCTATTTATATATTTATGTATATATGTAGAATGTTTTAAATTTATTCTAAAATGAAAAAAAATGCACAAAGACAGCAAATCTTTTTCACATAATAAGGTGGGTCCCAAGGTGGATTAGAGTTATGAATCATTATTTGATTTTTATCTAAATTAACATAAAGCTTACCTCTTTTTTAGATCATCAAGGCAACGCTCCAAGTGTACCTCACCTGCTGCTATGATCACATGTTCACCTGTTTCTTGGACGAGAGTTTCAACACATGGATCGGCCTGGTTCAACAACTTCAGTCCCTGCACAAGTAGATGCATCTCAGCTAGAGGGCAGCAGATAAGAAGATAAATTTTGTATGGTGCTAAGCATGGTGTTATTGCTTGTATACTTATCACTCAACAACAGAAAATGGGCAAAGGTGTGGATTGGAATTGCTAGGTGGTTAAGATGCTTGCATTCTAATCTCAGGGTCTTGGATTAAATTTTTGTGACATCAGTTTTTATCTTGACTAAAAACTGTACACTCTCTAAGCCTCATAAAAAGACTAAGTTTAAAAGCTCATTCCATTCTCTAATTTGCGAGTTAATAATTAATGCTTCATAAAGTATTCATGCTTACTAACGAATTTAACTCAAACAAATGATTTACCAGGGTGAGTTGGTTCAACCGCTACTCTGACAATCGGGGCAGCAGCAAACGGCATTGACGTGAAGGCCGGACACATGGGTGTACTAGACACTGTAGCTGATTTTAGTACATGCTCTTCTAGTCCACTAATACCTGAGACAAAACCATGTATTATTTAGTAAAATGTGATTTAAATCACCTTTCATCAATTAACCTGTTTATAATTGTTCTACAGGCCCATCTGAGTTAGGCTTTTAGTAAGGTTACAGAAATGAGTTGTCAGTGCTTTTAATTAATAATTTATAAATAGTTACAGAGAAATACACTTGGGATGAAAGAGTAATGAGTCCTATTCTAACATTCAGTTAGGTCATTTTTGAGTACATGTTGTCAACACTCACCTAATACATTGCCGGCTGGAACCTCATCCATAGCCTCAAGCTCACGGCCCATCAACAAGTAAAGCTCTCCCACTTTAAATCGACTAATGTACTTTTCATTTTCTGTGGCTAAAGTCTTAAAAAAAAACAAGTACAGTATATGAAAATGACAGGTGACAATAGTAGATGATAAATGATAACAGATGAGAGATAAAAAATGTATCCTAATAACATGGTACAATGACCTTGAGTACGGTATGGTATTAGTTCCTTAGGGATCTGGGCTGACATTACTCAAATAAATAATAAATAATTCCACCAGAAACAAATGTTGTTTATAGAATCAGAAGTACCATATACACGTGATATTTAGCCAAAAATTGGAAAAATAATAATAATAATAATAATTTGCAATTTGTATAGCGCCTCCCGTTGGATCAACCTTGAGGCGCTTGACAACAACGGAAGGAAACGGACAAGAGGAAAAAAAAAGGAAAAAAAACCATGAACCTAGACTAACAGCAAAAAAATGATTGGCGATGATATGGAAAAAGCAGGATATAAACCAACAATGGGAACATATATTCTTTTAATGACATTTAAATGCTTATCAGGAACTGTTCCTGAATATTTAACTAATTTTTACAAATTATTTGATGCTTACCATAGCATAAATACAAGAAGTAAATCGAAAAACACTTTAGTCTTACCACAATGGTGAAATGATTTTGGAAAAAGAACTTTTAAATATCGTTCAGTTAAATTATGGAATAATCTATCATCAGACCTTCATAGCAATATTCATTCACGTTCCTTACAATCCTTTAAAAATCTCATTTAATTTACCCTTTTGTTTTTCTCTTCTGTTTCTTGTATTTATGTAATCTATATATAATTATATATATGTTTTTTAATTTTTTTAATTTTTAAATTATTTTTTCTTTTAATTTTGGCTTGTAATATAATTTAGTTTAAGATAATACCCTGGATCTAAGGGAAGAACAGTGTAACAATACAGACTGAGCATCCAGAATAAAGAAAGATTTCAGTCTATCTATCTATCTATCTATCTAGAATGATAAATATTAGTCACCTCATCCATGACCTTTCTGGGGTCATGCTTTGGTCCGAGAACAAGTAATTCCTGTCCTTTTTTTATAATCCCACTAAAAACTCTGGCAAACGCCACAAATACATCTTTCTCCTCTGGTTCCTCAGAGTTCACTTCTTCACAAGGTACTATGTCTGCAATATAGTTATAGTTATTACTTGTTAATCAGCTTATTTCAAGAGGTTAAATTATTTATTTATGTTCAATACACTAGATACACATAGAAACTAGATTTAAACTTGTCACTTCGGACGAGTTAAGTGATTTGACCTTCCGAAAGCGTGCGGCGCAGATTGAAAGTATTTAAATGTTCAAACTATGGCCTATAATGTGCTCTAATTTAGTTTTTTAAAAATAATTTTTGAGCACACGTACGCTCATGCCATTACGCGCTTGCACACGATAATGGCACAGGAAGTTGAATCCTGATATGAGATATACATATATCAACTCTCATTGACATAAAATTTGACAAAGATTTCAAGGAAGAAAGAAGAGGGGGTCAGAAAAAACATTAATTTTGACATGATGACATCATATAAACTACAATACTTGTGTAAAGTGTCATTTAAAAATGCCTGTTGGTCGGTAATGGCATACGAAATTGACCATGTTAGTGTTGAAATCCAGTCTGCCACCCTCTATCGGGTTGTCAAAGATTTGAAGACAGAATAAATTGTGGAGGGGTCAGAAAAACACTCATTTTGACCATAATGATGTCATCAAAATGACAAATAAATGACACTTTGTGAAAGGAAATAGTCTCAGCTATAACATACTCACAGGCGGGAGATGATCAATCAAGAACAAGCGGGACACATTCAAATGAGTAAAAAAACTATGACATCATAAATAAAAATTCAGTTTCTTTTAATTCAGATGGCAATATGATGATGTCACAGTGTTCGATCAGCCATTATGATCTATAAAATCATATCTACAACTCATGTGCTTCCAGAATATGTAATAAAAATTGGGGGTCACCTTTCATCCTAAGGAGCTATATCTGATTAAAAATAGGCCTGATTTTAGCATATTTTCACTGTATGTCAGCACAAATGCGCGCAAGGATTTGTATGTTTGTTGCGAGTGTACGGCACTGCTATTGGCCCTAAGATGACTGATGGAAATTTGTGAATGTAATATCAGAAACCCAAAATATGTTAAAAAAACCTGTAATTTCTAGCTTCCGTACATGTTGCATGTAATTGGACGCATGTGTGTGCATGTGTTATGATGCACACGCGAAATATTTCGGTACGTGACATTCAAACTTGACCTGAAGTTTATGCCCAGATCACCAATAACTCAGAATAGTATTCAAACTATTAGTTTTTCTAACCTTCTGTTTTGCTAGGCTGTGTATTTCCATTTTCTGTCTCTGCTCGAGCCATTCTCTCAGCATGTCGTTGCCGAGCACTTTCTCTCCTCTCTTGAATTTCCTCGCTGGTAAGAGGCCTAGAGCAAATAGCAATCACAGAAATATGAATTAATTAGATTATGTCTTATATACTTATGGTGATAAAAATGAGCATATGCCATCTACACAACATATTTCTAACAACTTCTGGCACATTAATTTATCATAAAGACTAGGTATAAAAGCACATGGAGACTGGAGTATAAAGTGTACAAAATAAATATTATACCTTTGTTTGTTTTTTGGAAGAGAGTCACTGCTTACAACAAACATTTTTGAGATATAAACAATAACAGGAGCATCGGAGTTGCAGCAACTCTGCTTAAAATCTTAAAAAACAATTTTACACATTATTTGTTGTAAAAAATCATTTTTAAATTATTATGTACTGTATATCAATATGATATACAGTAAATTCAATTTAATTCAATTTATTCAGAACCTCCATTCGGAGAAATACATATAAAATATCAGAAAACAATACGAAATAATGTCCTTTCAACATAATGTATTTTATACATTATGTATTTTTATATTCAGCATATATTTTTAATGTAGTTTCTTAAGCTCACCATTCTTTAGTTTCTGGGACTCAGCTGGTAGGGAATCAAACCGCCGTCCTCCTGTGCACATCAACTTCTCGATCCTCTGTTCACTGACGTCCAGTGGGCTAGGAAGCTCATTTGCTACCATTGCTGGTGTATGAATTAAGAACATATTTCAATGCATTCTTTTGAACTTTAAAATGGCATTGTTAAAAACATCTACACAGTTGATCAAGCTTTCCATTTCAACATAAATATATTTTTAGAACAGTTTGGTTTTCCAACCTAGAGGTTAGGGTTTCAATCCCTCGCTGTGCATTTTGTGTCCTTGAGCAAGGCACTTTATCTGCATTGTTTCTCTCCACCCAGGAGTAAATGAGCACCTGGTAGGGTTAAAATGCCAAATGCACTAAGTAGCTGCTTCAGTGTTATGGAATACTACCTCGGGGAGCTTGTGTTCGGTATGTGTTTAATCTAACAACCGTGGTAATGATAATGTGAAGTGCATAGAGGCCATATCATAATGACCTATCAGTCTACAATTATTATTATTTAAAAATGTAGTTGTTTTAAGGAGGGCGTACAAATTGCAGTTCTTATAATTGTCAGTAAAATTCTGATTTTATTGACCATACTGAACCAATGATTGCAGAGTTGAAGACAAGTAGCACAACAACTAGCAAAAACTCCCCTACTACCTGCCTATATGTAAGCTCCCTGACTATCTGAAAGCTCAACCAACAACTCCCTCCTTATTGGTCTATTCATTGCCTGGTTGCTATAAGGATACATAAGACAGCTTTTGATAGTGGTAACCACTGTCCCATAACTGCCTGCAGCTGTACCCTTGAGTCATTGTGCCTTGTGTCTCTTGCTGATATCTTGAGGCCTAGGAATTTCACTATCTTTTCCATCTTCTCCTTGTCTCTGTAGAAGTAAATTGCTCAGTTAAGTTGGTGATTCCTGTGTCTCATAGTTTGCAGCAACTTTATTGCTTCTCAAGCCATGTACCAGGACTATTTATCAATGATTTAAATATAAAATATCAGAGCATAAAATATTATTTTCAGTTAATGAGACTTACCTTCTGAAATAAATATCTTCATACACTGACCACATATTTTCAAGAATAAACTGAACAAATAGAGGGCGCTTTCCTTTAGCTTGGGCACCTTTTTGAATTCGTTTCAACTTAGAATTGAGGTAGAAATCACCCCACAGAGTTTTCTTCAGCACTTTGGAGCTGATGCCTAGCTTGTTGGTATACATTTCAGCAAAATGATCGAGACTGAAATAATGAGTTAGAGTGTTGAGGAAGTCAAGATTTTAAATGATTAGTAATCACATATTTTATATTTATGGACGTTACAAGGCACAACTTTAATTATTTACAATACTCACCAAAAACAAGGAGCTATCACTTTAATAATAATAATAATATGCTGGTCTTATATAGTGCTTCATGCATAAAGCATCTAAGTGCTTCAGATTACTACCCAGTGATTGGATCAAACACGTATGGAACACATAATCTGCTTCCTGGGGAGAATTACATAATATCGCAGCTAGTAATCAGAGCAGTTGTGTTCGAAACTACCAGGTACCCACTTGTACTCTGTGAGAGTTTTGAATCCCCGACCTCAAGGTTGTGGGGTCCAAGCCACAACCGATGCGCCAACCGCTTCAACTTTAAAGCGTGATTGACCAATCACAACCTATCTAAAGCCCCACCCATTCCCCACCCTCATAAGCACCAGCATACAAGCATGAAAAAAAAAGGAGCTATCGCTAAAGCGTGATAGATCAATCACAAACCTACCTGAAGCCCCACCCATCATAAGCACTGGCAAATATAACGTTGCCTTGATCAGGGGAGAAGTAGAGGTTAGAATCATCAATATCATTCAGTTCTGTGCTCCAGTCGTACACTTGACCATCTGCATGAGCTGTTGGTGTCGATGATGTTTCAGTTCTTTCCTGTAATAAGGTTAAAAGAAAACATTAATGTATATTACAACATCTAGAAACTGTAATGATTTGGCTAATAAAATGCATAGATAGAATTGTCGGTAATTTACTCTTTTCAATTTGGTAAACGTGGGTCTGGAATTCTAGAATAATTTATGAGACCTGAACATAAATGTCATATTTTTTTAAACCAGAAGCATAAATTTCAACTATTATAGCATAACTGTAAAAAATTCTACATGAGTGTAAACCAACTCACGTTGGCCTCTCTCTCAAGCACATGTGATACATATAAGTTGCCAGTGACTGCATTCACTTGCTCTAAAATTTGCTGCAGATGTAAGTATGCCTCCAATGGGGTCAGCTTCAACTCCAATACAAGACGATCAATCTTGTTCAGTACCAGCACTGGTTTGATGTCCTCCAACCAAGCTTGCCTCAGGACTACTTGTGTCTGTAAATTAATGACAAGTTATGCATTGAAATATCTGAGACACACAAATATTTGCTAATAAACTAGAACAATTCAATATTTGAATCGCTTACATTGTTTATTTAAAATATTACCTTTCAACTGAAAATTATAAAGAAAATAGTTGACTGCCAGTTAACAGACACAAAAATAACTACAGTTCCTATATATTTTGCATAGACCTTTGAACTGTGTTTTTTTTTGTCCTATAAATTAACTCCACAAATCCGTAGATGTTGGTAGCCTACAAGTAAAATAATTACCTGGATAATCTGACTAATTGCCTATTTTCTCTACAAAAAAATACCTTTCAAATAAAATTAGAACAGACAGCTCCTAGTGCCAAGCACAAATGTTAACAATCATTTTTTAAATTTCTTTTTTGAGAGAGAATAAGCAATTTATCAGTTTAATTGTTTCAAGTTAAGTCTTCACGAAATAGAGAGAAATTTTGTGATTTGTGTCTTATTAGAATTTGACAATTTGATTCCTTTAAGCTCTGTCCACACTTTCAAATGTTATGTGACAAATAAATGCCCATATATGGGTTTAATAAATGCCCATATATGGGTTTAATAAATGCCCATATATGGGTGTAATAAATGCCCATATATGGGTGTAATAAATGCCCATATATGGGTGTAATAAATGCCCATATATGGGTGTAATAAATGCCCATATATGGGTTTAATAAATGCCCATATGGGTGTAATAAATGCCCATATATGGGTGTAATAAATGCCCATATATGGGTGTAATAAATGCCTATATATGGGTGTAATATGACACCATCCTTTGATGGTGTGGACAGCACTTTACATGAGCATTTCAATGTTTGTTAAACATTTTAATGATTTTAAAAAAAAACATTAACAAATATGTAATGCTTGAATTACTTAAGAAATACTTATATGGGGCTTGTTACCTGCGGACATACTCCCTCAACCACATCAACAACAACAACAGCCCCATCACACAATCGCACAGCTGTTGAAACCTCAGTGGAGAAGTCCACATGTCCAGGTGAATCAATCAGGTTAATCAGGTGTTCCTTCTCATCTACAAAAAAACACATGTGAGAAAACAAGTCACACAACTATAACATTGAATATTCATGATAAAACAATGTCAGCCTTTTAAACTATTCCTGGAAATGTTTATATTTTGCTGAATACTCACTTTCTTTGTAGTAGAGCGATATTGCACTTGACTTCATTGTTATGCCTCGCAGCTGCTCATCTTCACGGCTGTCCATATATCGCAGCTTACCTGCCATGCGAGACGAGATGATGCCATTGCTGGCAATGAGTGCATCAGCCAAAGTAGTCTTTCCTATTTTAAATGGAGAAACAAAAGTACATTGTTAATAGAACATTCCCATTAACAATAAATGATACTAAGGCCATCAGACTTATATTCCTTGTTTCGCATACTTATTTTTTTTAAAGATCATCAAAGGAGGATGGAATAAAAATTAAAAATTTTGTTTTCTTATTTAGCAAATAGTTTTGCCAAAAACACCCAGATGGAGCAGAAAATAAATATAAATTAATTTTATTGGTGAATGTAAAATGGGATGGTTAAATACTTCAAATTCATATAATTAGGAAGAAATATACATATCTTATCTTTGGAGATTTCAAGGCAGCAGAGGAATTTCCACTTATCGTGGCAGCGGGTGTGCTAATTGGCAAAAAATAAAATTTTTATTTTATTTAAAACCTTCAATATTTGCGTTCGGCGGGTTCACTAAACAAGGAGTATGAAAAAAGTCTCACTTAATAAGGCCATATGCTATGTGGGAGTAGAATTATCTTCTATAATTTTGTTATTAAATCCAAACTTCAAGGTTATTTTTTCAATAATTCAAGCATTAAACAATAATGTTTTCTAGTCCAAAACAGGGAGTGTATGTTACTGTATTTGTATAAAGTGAAGTGGAAAATAAAGAAACATTTTTGTTATCCCACCACCCATTGTAAGGAAACACAGACTAACATTCTTTTAATAATAATAATATTTACTAAAACATAAAAGAACTAAAAATATGAATTCTACAATGAGGGTAGCAGGTCAAAACGGCAATAAACCAAAATGGCAATGACCAAAACGGCAATGAACCAAAACGGCCATAACAAGTACCAAAACGGCAATGACAAGTACCAAAACAGCAATAGGCATTGACCAAAACAGCAAAGGAGCAAAATGAATGCCAAGACTAGCAAAGCGCCACCAAATGTTTTACTGCTTTTATATTGTTTTCCCCAATTTTTTTAATATTGAATTTGTATGCTATATTGTTATTATTATTTTGACGTTTTGCCCCCTTAATATTGGTGTTTGTCTTGTTTTTTTGAATGTTTTTATTTATTTTTGTACTGTAAATTGTCTCATCCAATCACTATATATGTTTGATTGCAATAAAGTTTAAGTTGAATTATTATTATTATTATTATTATTATTGCTGTTGTCGTTCTTTTGCGTTTGTTACTTCTATGACAATTTAGCCTCATTTTACCGTATTTAATTGTTGTACACTTTCATATTTATAATTAGTTTATTTTTTTGCGTTTTTACTTTCATGACATAAATTGTTTAGCATCATTTTGTCTGTTTTTTAAAGTTTTACTTAATTTAAATGTCCACTAATGATATTACATTGTGTTTCCCCCAATCTCTTTATTCTTGAATTTGTATTTTATATTATTATTATTATTGTTGTTGTTGTTCTTTTTATTATTATTATTATTATTATTATTATTATTGTTGTTGTTGTCGTTCTTTCACTTTTTTACTTCTATGACAATTTAGCCTACTAAGTCTGAAACAAAATAAAAACTTTAAAAATACAGAACGATTTAACAATTACTTTCCAAACATAAAGCACTAGTGTGTACATCGGCCTTTCATACTGCGGTTGACCGAAATGATCTTTATTCGCCGCTAAAGGCCATAAATAAATAAAATTCCCTTTGCTTTTGCCAATTACCATATAGCCTAGGTCTACAGTATGCCATTCTGGAAACGTTGCCGTTTTGGTTTAAGCCTATTGCCGTTTTGACTTAGGCCTTGCCATTTTGGTCATCGTTGTTTTGACTTATTGCCGTTTTGGTCCATAGCCGTTCTGGTCAAAAAGTGTTGCCGTTTTGTTTTTTTGCCGTTTTTGGCCATTGCTGTTTTGACTTATTGAAGTTTTGGTTTATTGCCATTTTGTCCAGAAACCTTTCTGAGTCCTGAGTATAAATTGTTTAAAAACTGGATTTAATGATTTCCTTACCATGGTCCACATGAGCCAGAATACAGATGTTGCGAATGTTTCCAGACTGTTGCTGAAGTTGAGCTAGTTTCTCAGAGTCCCAGGTTGGCATTTCCTTTGACTGGAGTGAAATAAACAAATTATTTTATCAGCACATCACATTTTAACTGCATTGTTTTAGACTGTCTGCACAGGGTCATAAAAAAAATAAATACTATGCAGTGCAAAGGTTTTTTGGTTTTTTTTGCAGATCGATTACTATGACCAGTTTAGCCTTTGCCCTTCTATATTACCATGTGAAAATGCTCCAAATTCAATGGTTCTATAATTTGTAACGTATATTGTTAGCTGGGTAGACAGTAGGCACCTACTGGCGCCCTACTTCTCTTGCAGGTTATGCCATCCCTATCTAAGCTTTCCTTTGGCGAACTGACATATATAAAACATGTTGTTTGCCTTTACGCAGTCTTTATATTACTAGGCCTATAAGTAAGTCAATAGCAAATTTATTAATTATCAGTATTTGCTATTATTAAGATATTTATTAGTCATTCAATTAATCGAATTGACTGAAAACACACAATGCCTACTTGTTCAAAGCCGAAACGGTGTTAAACAGCTTAGAGCCTGAGGAGGTGCCTAAATAGCTAGGCCCGGGTAGACCTAGCCTAGGCCTACGTAGGTGAACCAGTTCTTGTCTGTAGCTAGCCTAGGCCTAAGAACAAGTAGAGAATCCCGTGCATGACGTGAAAATTAGCTAGGCCAGGGCCTACGGCCTAGGCTAGCTCCGGACAGGCTGAGGCTATTTTAGGACTTAAGTTTACACTTACTTTTTTTTTTATACGATGGTAATATTCTGATAAGTTCAACTCATCTAGGACTAAATATCGTATTATTAGATACAAAACGTTGAACCTCTCTTTCACAATATTGCGTAACAAAACTGTACTGTCTTCACACACAATCACACATGTGTGATCTCCGATATAAATACAGTACACAGGTCCATGGAAGGCCGAATTTTGAAAACGGATTCAGGACTAGGCCACTGATTAGATTTATAATGTATAAAAAGTAGGGCTTTTAATGCGTTTTGTGCATAACGTATTTTTTTTAACTACTGCTTTTTATGAAGAAATCTAGACTAGAGATTTATATTTTAATTCTAAATATGAAATTGCGTGCCATACATAAATAACATCGTACGTAAAGGTTTTGCAATATTTGATTGGTTAGATTATCTATTAGTAACGCCCATATCTTATGAATATTCATATATTGTTGGTGTGACAACCAAATACTACTGCAACAAACCTTTGGATAGTGTTTGATACCGAGACGCGTGAAACATTATGGTTTTGTGATAGGCCTAGTTGTATGTGCGGACTTGAGATCAGTAAATTCATCTAATATTAGTTACACAGTATTACCTTAATTACCTAACAAAGATTTATAGTTGAAGTAATTAGGTAATACCACAGGATGGGGCGACAACAGTGCATTTGTGAAATATGTACTTGTGGGTAAGTGTGACACTGACATTAAATTCTCGTAAAATGATGGGGTGATCATGATCAGAAGGCTGGCTGGTCTTAACTAGGCCTAGGACTACCTTGTAGGCCTAGCCTAGGCCCTAGGCCTCCTTGGCTAGGTCTGTGCCTTAGTCTATGATGATATGCCTAGGGCCTATCGCTCTAGCTAGGCCTATTTTGGTAATAATATTGTATTAATTATAGGTCTAGCCTAGGCCTAGCGCCATTCCTTTAGTTTTAGGTCATTGATTATTATTACTAGGCCCTACCTTAGTACCTACTGGCTTTTCTTTAAAATGTTCACAAATGATATACATTACTAGGCCTACGTCCTGTATGAATAAAAAAAAAAATTGAAAATTTGTTTAGTCTGTCAAAACTTAACTGGAAAATAAAATCATACAGTACGTAGATATATCATTTGCGAACATTTTAAAGAAAAAATTGCGTTGACACGACCCTTCGTTAAGGATATATGATTTTTTTAGTAACATGACCTCCGAAAATATGGCTGAAACACTATGTTTTTTTTTTTTGTTGGTTACACTTCGCTGCTCAGCATTGTTTGTCATCGATCGAAGATGTCTACCGCAGCGTGAAAAAGGCCTATTAATAGGCGTATTCGATTGGTACTTTTCCGAGGTGTGATTTACTACTTGGAGTGTGCTCGTAGTGCTCGTTAAAAAACAGCGAGGAGTTCGAGCCACTCTTGTGAGCAGTTCGTGCTGCTCGTGCGACCAGTCGAATACGACATGTGCAGTTTGAGTAGAAAGAGCTGCTCAAAACAGACCAGTCGAATACGCCTATTAGTGCAGTAGTAGCTCAACAGGTACCCACTACTCCTAGGTAGAGAAAAGCAATGCAGATAAGGTGCCGTACTCAATGCACAGTGAGGAATTGAAACCACAACCTCAAGGAGGACGAAACCAAACCGTTCCTGCTGCGTAAACCTAAACTGTATAGGCCTAGGCTTAATATAGGCCTCTCTTCAGAATTGATTGTAATCAACGTTCATAGCCATTTTAATAAAGAGATTCATAAATACTTTCATATCACCTCTTGTATAAACTGAGGGGAGGCAGACCTTTAACTCCTCATGGCATACTGTATCTTGAATAGCTTGGTGGTACGATGCTTGCTTTCCAATCCCAGGTTCCTGGGTTCAATTCTGTCATAGTAACAGGATTTTTTCTCACTACCAAAACAACTCCACTCCCTTAGCCTCATAATGAGACTAGTTTATATAGAGCATCTTGTGTTTGTGTTTGTCTCGTGAAGGGATATGCCACTTTAAATGTTGATTAAGTTCGCTGCTGGGCATATCTTCGGTTTTCGGCCTAAATCAATTAGGACTAAAACTGAGTATATTTCAATAAAACGTCTAATGCAGCCTAATTAAAAAGTGTGTATGATTTTTCAAGAAAAAGAATGTTTGTTTTGTTCATTTTGTTTACGTTACTTTACTTAAATTACTAATTTACATTTTTGCTTCTTTAAACCCCTAGCCTAGCCTATGTTATTTATTAATAACATACAGCACAGTAATTGATCAAGTTTATGTTAATTTATCTAACACAGGAGTAATTTTATTTAAAATTTTAAGCATTAATGATACTGTAGTAATATTGTTACACTTAATGTGAAATTATCAGGATCAATGATGAAGTATTTGTGTAGTAATTAATAATTGTAACACTAGCCTGGATGTTGAAAGCAACAAGGTTTCCTTTTACAGGGACCAATATCTTGGTTAGTAATCTAATGTTATTTGTTATGCCCTTGGTTACTTTACTACCCATTGTGTAAACTATCTTTACTAATATTTACATAGATCAGAAGCCACTCCACCAACATTACCTAGAAAAAGATTAAGGCCACATTTATTCTCTTTTCATTCTATCCAAAATGTATTGAATTGTACATTGAATTTATATAATTTTGAATAAAGTATTAACACAGTATAAATGTGAGCCATATAAACATTTATTCCTGAATTATAGATTGAATTAATCTAGTAATTGAATGAATTATTTAACATTACATTAAGAAAAACAAAACATATATGGGAAAATTGAATCTGAATAAGGTTGAGTCACCAGCGTTAACAGATCATTGTTGTACATTTACCAACTTTGATGTTTTTCAGTGAGAAGGATCATATTTAATTGGTAGCAAAACTGGCATCAGTAGTCACATTAATACAAAGCTTAGTACAGTATGGGGAAACACTGCCACTGATAATTATAAATGTTATACCTCCATGTATGACAAGTACTGTATGGTGAAATAGCTTGACTTCATAGCTCAGTTGATAAAGCAATCCAACAGTATCAGAGTCGTGGGTTCGAATCCTCATGGGTCAATACATTTTTTTTTTCTAAAAAATGAGTATTAAATTGATTGCGATAAAGCTTCTGTGTGATTCTATTGCCTTCTTTAGGTTAATTTTTAACTTCTCTACCTCTCACAATACATGTTAGAATGATTGAATTGAACAGCCCAGGAAACAGCCTCTTACAAATCAATGTTGAAATGATTAAACTATAAATAAAACTTAAATTCCTCTTTCTCAGCCCCTCAATTTTGGCATGCTGGGAAATATACCAACGTTCAGTCTATCATGATGTACAGTAGTAATAACCAAGATCAGACATAACACTGTTTTCATTGTGTAGGCCTACTGTTTCTTATGTACATTTATTCCTACAACCCATCTTGATTGTGGTTGTGTACTGAGCCATGTCCAAGGTATAGGCAGACAAGCACAATAAGCAATTTCCGCAGTGTTTGTTGACCGTGCTTCTTGCTGCTTGATAAAAATTGATTGATATTGTTTATTGGTTGCTATAGTGATTAACAAGCAAAAGTCTTTCGCTGTGCAGTGTAATATGTTTCTATCAATATTTTGGTATACAGTATACAGTATGCATATGACATTAGTATTGTATTTTATGGCCTTATTAAATTTTAACATAAATCATTTTTTATTAAATATAATTAGGATGTAATATAATAACTAACTGAATGATTTAATTATACTTAGTATTAAAATTTGTATTTTGAATTACTATACATAATTTGATAAAAAATACTGTAAATGTATTAATAAATGTCCTATTTATTTTTTTTGTCTGTAATATCATGATTAATTTTTCTCAATGAAAATTTCTATTAAAAAATGTGATTCAAAACATGCTATAAGTTAATTATTATGATTGTAATGCAGGTAAAAATAATATAAAATTTGTTTTGTTTTGTTAGACGGCACAAGTGTCCTCACCAGCCCAAAGCCACAGCTAATTACGGACCATGCGAAATCTCAGAGTACAACAACAAATACAAATCTTATGATTATACCGGTAGAAGACCCAACTTCAAGCCGCACCAAGAAGTGATGAAGGGTACTGAACCAATGGCAGACTCGACCACACACAAGTAAGCAGAAACAACATATTGGGAAGGGCGCTTCAGTGGATAAGTTGTTCACTGTCCAATCTCAGGGTTTGTGGGGTTGCCCTACTGAAGCAATTGGGGTTTGAAACTGACTTGAAACCTCTATTGTGGTATAATTTTTTTTTTTTTTTAAATGCTTTCCTAAAAATTTTTTTAATACAGTTCACAAAAAATTAAATGAAAACCAATTGAATTTCTCATTCAAAAAAGACATACATTATCAGTTATCAACTTCCAACGAAAACATACAGTAGATCAGTTTCTCATTTACAGAATTTTACTTCAGTTTTAAACTGTTATTTAAAAATTCATATTTCTGAATTAATATTAATATTCAATTAATTGTTTTATCTCAAAACAGAGGGTACTGTATTTCACTTCTTTAATTATATTTTGTTTTTCAGAGCAGACTTTATACCACATCCAACTGAGAAGCCCCGGATGCATGTCCCAGAAGCCTACCAGCCTATTCCTGGTGATATAGACACGTTGACATCGTACACTAAGGATTACCCTGCTAAAAAATCAGAAATGCCAAAAAGCTTCAGAGCAACACATGTGAAGCAAGCTCCGGCTGGAGAGTTCAAGGGAACACCTACATATGCAGGTAAGACATCCACTAAATGTATTGTATTTCTTGCTCTTATGTTTGCTTAAGATGTAATTATCGAGCATTACTGCCTGTCTGTGTGCTCAACTAGGAAAATTGTTACATTCCTGTTTCAATCCACTCCAGCTTGTGTCTTTCTATTCAGTTTAGGGTCGATACTTTAATATGCTATGGTGGCATAACTGTTAAAATCAAAGCTGTTGAACTTATATCCATGAGTACCAAACTGTTATTGAACAATGTTAGAATATTTTTTTAATCATGGAATTATAAACAACTTATGCTTTCTCTTACAGATGATTATCGCAGATGGGAGATCCCAAAACGAGAGACGGGAAAAACCCAGTATATGTATGTGCCACCAAGTGCTCCGTTTGAGGGTGCATCAACATTCACACGTGATTTTCAACCCAAAAAAGCTGAGATGGCACGTAGTATGAAGCCTGCTGAACAGTCGCGTACATCCGATCAACCATTTGACGACAACACCATGCACAAGTCAGCTTACGTTGCCTACCCTGCGCAACCAAAGTATGTGAGGCCAAAAGAGCATTATGCAAAGAATCCAAATAAATTTGACGACCTGACAACATTCCGTCGTGATTATCCGGGGAAGTATGTTGCAGTGGTAGATAGTTTCAAACCAGATATGACACCAATAAAATCAAACCACCCCTTTGATGATAACACAACGTTCAAACAAGATTACAAAAAATGGGATGTCACACCACCACAAATGAAAGTGCCTGAAGGTTATGTACGCCCCAAGGGAGATATGGATCTTCACACTACATCTAAAATTGCATTCCCAGCTCATGCAATACAAGAACGAAAATTATGGAAGCCAACCCAACGTGCTCAGGCAAATGATGTACCATTTGATGGGCGCACAAGCTATAAACAGGATTTCCTCAAGTGGGATAGTCAGAGAGAAAGGCGTGGCAATCCAAGCCAGAAAATGTATGAGCGACCAAATGTACCATTCGAAGGAATAAGCAACTATCAATCACACTACGTCCCTAAGAAAGTCTCTGCACTTAAAGCTTTAGGACCAGACCGGACTGCTCATGTAAGCTCGGACCCATTTGATGATCGTACAATGTACAAATCTGAGTATTTACCAAGAGCTCAAGAACCATGTCCTGCAATTAATTTAGGCGTGAGTGGTTACCAGTTCAGGGAGCTTGATCAGAGAGGTCATCAGGTTTGGAAAAAGGAGAACGGAAGTTATGAGAGGACATTCAAATCCCCTGTACAAAAGATATCTATGGAATATGCTGTTGCATAAAAAAAGCTATGACATCATTTTGGAGGGAACTTGACACAAGTCCTAATAATTAACATGGCAACAATGTACACCTTACAGACACCCACATTGAAACTCACATGATCTCACATATGTATCCGTCCATTCCCCCATAATGTATTGCAGAACTTGTGATTTGTAATACAGTATATGTGATGTATATATTTTATGAAAGAAAAAAACAGTTCAAATAAATTTTTTCATATACAAGTAACTTTATTTTAAGATTATTATTTATTAGACCTTTTCTGTTTCAAAGACTGGATTGAATTTTGTTTATGCATTTTTTCCTGATAAAACAAATATTATGCATCCAGATGATTTTCTCTGTGAAAAATTTAGGAAATGTTTGTGTGTGCCAAAATACTTGTATTGTGGAATACCTGATGGCGATCTACAAAATGTGTTATTTTTATGTATAAAATTACTTTTTACATTGTATAGAATTATGTAAAATGCATATGAAGATGATGTTGATATATTAGAAAATAGTAATTTGTAGGTCCATGAATTCATGAGGCCAAGTTCCCTCGTGCAGTGGGCCGAGTGCACTGAAGTCCACCACAGGGCTGTCTGTCCAGTACACCGGGGTATCCCCATATTCGTCTCGAAGGATGTACTGGGTTCTTTATAGTGCACAAGAGCCATTGTATACACTGGGCCTACGGTTTATAGTCTTTATCCAAGAAGACTTGTTCTACCATCAGAACCATAGGCGAGCGTGCCGCTCAAACCAGCGCCGATATTATGGCTATAGCTTGCGGTGCCCCCGCTAACCCCTCAGTTCACTTGGCCCACTGCACTATTATTGGGGGAAACCATTAAACAGAGTTGGACTGATTGCCATCTTTTGTTGCAATTTGACATATTAACAGGTCATTCAGGTATGGAGGCCCACCTATCATCCCTATTATTTCTACAATCTGCTCTTCATAAATTTCATTTTGGTTTTTAGTTATTATTAGAATAATAGTGTACCAGTACTGGTTGGCATGAATTGATGAGTTGTTTGTGAACTGAAATGGGATACCAGTAAACAGAGGCAAACAAGGTTTATTACTCATTAATAACATACTGAAATATAGACAGTGAGATGCTCTTCAACTTAAAAGAAAATATATTAATCATTATATTTTTTATTGTGTATAAAATATTAAACATGTATTTTACTAATTAGAATTTGAGTAGAATACTTTTTATTCCTTCCTATAGCACCACTACATGTTTACTAATTATGTATGGAATTGAAGGTAGGGTAGGCCTACAGTATTGTATTAACAATCAGCTTGGATGCATAACTTGGTGGAAATGCATGTACTGATTCATTAGTGTATGTCTTGGATATATTATTCAAAATGTACTTGAATATTTTCTGTAATGAATAAAAAGTATAGTTCTGAGTGGAACTTCTTGGTTTACTTTTTCTTTTCTTTGGAAAATGTTTCTTACTGCAGCTGATGTTGCTACTAATGCAAATGCTATTGTTGCTGTTGGTGATGATGAAGACTGGAAAAAATTATGGAGATTATGAAATGTACGTATTTTTCCCCCCAAGTTTTTTTGTAAATAAGGCATGTTTCTAACATAAGCTTAATAAAAAAAAAAATATGTTTTTTACACATCTAACTTCCTAGCTCATAATTCATATTTCTCATGCACAATACCCATTTACCATGCATTAATAATAATAATCATTTGTTTGTACCAATACACAATTCTTGCGCATTAGATAATCTGAACATTGGACCGTCATTATTTACCATGGTGCTCTGCCTATCATTAATCTATTGTGCAAAAAGGATCATGTAAATTCCAACAGCATTTGGAATAGTATCCTATATTAACCTGTTTCAATGGTAATTTATTATTAAATAAAGTTATAGTTTTTAAATGATATATTATGATTTCTTGCCACATTGAAGCCATTCCAGAAATTATAAACAATTGGGTAATCGAGAGATAATTATGTGGGAGTACTTTAAAGAAGCTAAGTTAAATAGTGCCAGGACCCTTTCAACCATGTGTCAATGGTCTAGAAAATTACTTTTCTTACAAGACAGTCATTCATTTCGAAGGATTTAAAGTTCTCCTTAATTTATTGTTTTAACGTGCATTACTCTAACATCCTAATTTTCTTGCCTCCTTTCCCGGAGGTGTAATATTTTTGCTTCAAGTCTGCTCATGACTGACGCTGCGTGTCTTAAACTGCGGTGGTGGACCTTTCCTATCATTCGACACTATTTCTACCACTCCTGCTACACTCCTACACTTTTTGAGTCCTTAGGAGGTCGGCTTTACTAACCAGAACAACAAATCATTCGGACCTCCCACTTTTTATGTAATAAAAATAATGTACAGTATGTATGAAATTTTTATGCATGAATGTAAGAATCATGTTTACTGTAAATGAAGAGAACAGTACAACCCACTACTCTACTTTCTCACCTAAGTAAACAAAGACTTAGATATAGAATATTTTTACAACAAATTCTTTAATACATTTTTGATTTACATCAATAAAAAACTGATTTAGTGTTCAAATCAAGAGATAAATACAGCATGATATTTTGATGGCAAAGGACGGCAAATATCTATAGGAGTTTGTACAGTAAATAATCTAATTAGCGAAGCAGAGCTTAAACAATTTTAGGTGTTAGTGTGGCAATTCCGTGAGAGTGGCACTGGGAGTGGTGTTTCTCATGTTATCGTGTCTTCTCTTGTTAAAATGTGTTGTACACAGGCCTGACTTGTTATACTTCATTAATAATTATTCTGTGAGATGGTTGTCCTGGTGATTCAAAATATCAAGGCATAGGTAAAAATGTACTCTCAATAAGTGCCACAATGCTTCTTTCAATACACTTAGATGCGGAACTAAATATTAAAAAGTCATGTTTCAGAACAGCACTTTTTATCCGAGAACAGCGCTTAATTGAAAGAGGCACTTATTCTAATATTATAGTGTGCTGTTCTGATTTATGTAAAATATCGAAATACGGCTGGATGCTTTGGCTGTTCAAATATACAACCCGATAATAAGAAAAACAAAGATGGCGATGACAGATCACCACAACAACTGGCGCTAACTGTCCAATGATACAACAGTGTTGATTTGACCAATTGCAATTTCTGAACAATACTGTAGGTTATTAGCACAATGCTGAAGGTCACACACAAATGTCCCGGGCACTTATGTTGTTGGCAGTCTATTTTAAGTTGTTTTATTCCTCAGGTGGTGTCACAGGTGAAGCACTCAAGTGGAACATGATTGGCAGCACTGCATTTGGTAGTTTTCTGAGTTGCATACATTTAGTTGCTTTACCAGTGGACAATAGTGGGCAAGATCTTTACAAGGTTCTGTAAACAACAAAATAAATAATACTGCTAAGTTTGATAGTTTTGTTAATGATAAGCAATGGTATCATGTAAATGAGGAAATACATTTTTAACAATAGATGGGATATTGCTTGCAGCGCCCTCATCAGTTGGACTAGGACTATACCCGGGCGCTTACTGCACCCAATGGTCGTCGGCCGACGCAATTTTATGGAGGACACATCGCCACGACTGCCACCAACAATCAGCAGACAGTGTTGCGTAGTCTAGGGCTCACAGGGAGCGAAGTTGGATCCACCGGACAACGATCAAACGACCGTCATACAATACAGTGAGTGCCCAGCTTCAGTTGCAGATGGAATGTAGTCAAAATTCCATCTGCTTCAGTTGCAGATGGAATTTTGACTACATTCTTTATGAACATGGAACGCAATTTGAAGTTGCATAGAACTGGTTGAATCTCCAACACAAAATACGTAAGTTTGATTTTAAGACTGTGCAGTACCCTGGTAGGTGTGTATTATATCATGGAGGAAATATATTAAGATATAGGTATGCTGCCAAGCAGTACAAACATAAGTGTAACATCTGTTAATAAATTGTTTTATCTTCATTCATTCTCAGTACCGTGGTAGGTGTGTGTATTATACCATGGAGATATATATTTATGATTATACATATGTCTGCTGCCCAGTAGTACGAACAGTATAACACTTTCATTCATTCTCCCTGACCTACCACATGGCTGTTGGTTACACTGCTGTATGACATTAGGCTGCCCTTTAGCATTGCAAAAGTGTGTTGGTGCCGATCCTTTGGTTCCACCATAAACACAGTGAATCTTCCTTGTCTGGAATCCGTAAGGTCCACAGGATGATGAACACTGAGTAAAAAAAAAATAAAATGGATGTTTTAAGATATGCAACAGTAAGCCTTTATATTATTAGTGCCATAAATATGCCAGGCATAAGAGCACCCACTAATTCTTAATTATGTGTGCTGTAAAGTATGTAGTTTATCGTGTTGAATTAAGAACGTAAACAATGCAATGATACACACACATGCTCGCAAGAAGTTCATTTCCAACTCCCTTTACGTTCGCTAGTTTCAACGTAAACTCCAAGTATGACACATTACTCGTATTCGCCACAAATTCTCTTTGTTATTGAAAAATGGTGAGTTTTTTTTATTAGAAAGGAACATTATACGAATGAAATAATATGGTAACTGAATTGAAATATAATAATTGCGTCTAGCGCAAAGCTGTGTAGACATTGATTATTTGTTACATATTTGGTTAATAATTATCAAAATGTAGTTAATTATAAAATTGATTAAACCTGATTCGTTGCATTTCATGACTTAGTTATTCACATATAAGTATGTGAATTAAGATGATTATTATTATTCCAATATATGGTATCATTATACTGATCTGCACAGTATGCTTGCTAGTAAATGCAATCGCTATCGCAAGCTAGTCGTTAACGAATCTGTGTTTGCGTGCTTTAGAATACGCCTGTAACTACCTGTGCATTGTCGCTGTAGCAACAGTACACGCTACAGATGAATACATGAAGCCTAGACTATACATGTTAATTATTGATTATTATGCGATTTATGTTATTAATTATTATGCAATTTATGTAAACTTGAGTTAAGTTTTTTAATTGATTTATTTTGCTAGTTTGATTATTGATGAACAATCTCCAATTTACACCAAAGAACCTAGCAGTAGAAGATGTACAACCAAAGTAGAATTACGAATCATTAATTTCTAATATCAAATTATTAATATACATAGAATATTGACAGTTAGTGTGTATGCAGGCTTATCTGTGATATATAATCTGTTATGCAGCTCTTACATAGATTGATTAATTATTTATTTCATTCGCAATGTTATAATTGCTAAGTATTATTATTATCTATTTTTCTGTTATAACTTTCACATTGTTTAATGATTGAAAAAACAGTCAGCATTAATCATCAGTTGACACTTGATATCTTACTACGTCGCTATTTAGATAAAAATTCTGAAAGTATAATGAGCTATGTAAGAAATATTTTGCAATTAAATTTAGCTTCAAACTGTACTGTAGGCCTACCTCTGACCATTTTGTTTTCCTCCACTCTGGCCTACATCGCATTGTTTGGCAAGGGTGCAATCGCTTCGGTTTGCTTGAGCTATTACAGTTTCTGCCTTGTGTCAACACACCTTTGCCATTCTCACACCATACTCTCCTTAACTTGTAGGCAATATATGGCTTATTACATTTGCCTGAACACTAAATGGTAAAAAATAGAAATATATTATAACCAGACTACAATATAATCATTATAATTATTAACTTATACCAAAAAACAACTCACCTCGCCCCATGCTCCTGTCTTCCATTGGTTGGCACAGCGCCCCTTGTTACAATCCTGGGTTGTGTTAGGTTTATCAATTCCAAAATTAAGACAATCCTGGTCTTGCACGCTTTCCTCTACTCCTGCAGAGGTCCGAACACAGGTTACATTCCGGGATTTAATTCCATTCCCACAGGTTACGGAACATTGACTCCATTGACCCTTAACCCAGGCAATTTCATGATTCCTGGGGTCAAACAATAAAAGTACTGATAAATTTTCTAGTTTGATTTTAGTATTGATAGACATGGATAAGCTTTTATGAAAATATTAGTGCTATTTCATTCGTCATAAAACACATAAAACAACTAGACCTCTAATTCCAGGGTCTTGGGTTCAAATCTTGTAAAATCCAAAGAAAAAAGGTGGCACCAGCAGGAGAGGGGAGGGGTGGGTTCTTTTTAATGGGAATTAAGCCTCCAATCGGCCATAAATTCTTGTACCAAAAAGGGGAAAATGTTTTACATGATTTTTACAGCTATAATATGTGCTTAAATCAAAGGTCTCACAGCATCTTAGAATGGCCCAAATTGCTCAGTTTAAAGCACTAGAAAGCCCTAGACCCCACTGGTCTCTGTTGGAAATTTCCAGACCAAGAGTTGTTGCCATGATTAGAAAACTGAACTCCCTAAGCATCATAATGACTTAACAAGCCCCACATCCTATATGTTGCAAGTGCACTTGGCCTTACATGTGGACAAACATTTTTATTTTTTATATATTTGAAGTTTATCCTCTTACCTTGCTATTAGTTCGCCATCTGCAACAAAAACAAATATGAATAGATGAAAGGATTGCCAACCCTTGAGATTAAGTTATTAAAGGAAATTTTAGGTTTGAAGAAGAAAGAAATAACAACATTATCATACCATTGCATATATTTTTAAAATGGGTTTAAATAATTTGATGTACTGTGCATGCCAATATCAAGGCCAATCATCAGAAACACACATACACACAACATAACATAGGTTTGTTGGATGATCTTGGATACGGGCATCCGAAGGACAAACTACAAATAGGCTTATTTGTTGCATTAGTACAAATTCAGGAATTCAAAATTATTGCATAAAGAAAAAGTATAATAATTCAAACTTAAAAAATGGATTAAACAATCAGTTTAAACAGTCTCACCTTCATGCAACAGCAGATTAAAATCTTTGCTAACATCACCAGCATGACATGAATAAACACCACGATCCTCTTTCTCAATATTCCAAATCTTCAATGTCCCATCTTGTAATATCTGAAACTTTCCATCATGCCTTGTGATAGGGACGTCATTCTTAGTCCACAGGAGATTAGATTTTTTGAAGTTGACTACAGGGCATCTTATGAGGACCGTTGTGCCTTGGTATAGTTTTGCTGTGTTGCCAATCTGTAGACGTACCTTGCTCATTCGTTTTGCCTGAATCACACTTGTTGAATTTCCTAGGATTTCTGGAAATTGAATGAATAAAATTGCTTTAATAAACCCTAAGTTGGCACTAACTGGGAGTGAAGATGTATCTTCAGAAGGCTCCAGTAGTTTCCACTTCTTTGCTAACATGCACACACCAAGGCCAACACTGGATCCCAGTTGCAAATCTCCAAGTTATAAAAAATACAAAAATAAACATTCATCTCTTACCTACACACTTTTTAAGGTAACATTTTTCGCTTCGTGGTGGCATTTTATCTGCATCACATGTTGAAACTATCTCAATATTATTACTGGCAGTTTGCTGTACGCAGAGGATAACACGAACCTGGACTCCTTCTCCGCAAGTTACTGAGCACTAAATTAAGAAAAATAAATATGAATCAAATAGTTTTCCTTGGTTAATTCTGAAAATGTCCTGTGTACAAAGGCAAATCACGGTCAACATTTGTAGTTCCTTCTTTGCTATGCCTTCATGTTGTGCATTGAAAAGAGATATAAAAAAGCAAGTATAGCAGTTTACACTGTCATATAAAAAACTATCAATTGAAAATGTAATTTGAAAACAAAGAGTAAAATACATATTTGTTTTTTGTTTGTCACTTCATATATTTTTTATCTCGTAATAATTCCTCTTAAATTTCTTACCTCTGACCATTCCTTAACAATCCATTCTGGTTCACAATCGATCTGATTACAGTCCTCTATTTGGGAAGGTTTTTGGTTCTGGGGGCAAAGTGAGGGGTCAACTTCAATGACCTGTCGCTCAACAGTTCTCTGATGACAGTAGACCATTCGACGACGCAATCCAGACCCACATTCTCTTGAACACTGGAAAGTTTGACAGAAAAAAAATTACAAATTAACAATTATAAAAAAAAAGAAACACTTTGCAGAAATATTTAAAACTATTTAAAAATATCTCAATCAATCGAGCATTAACTGTCAGGTGCTGTGTGTTTGTTATTTACTATTAATGGTATTTTTCATTAATTATAATTATATATAACTGCCAAGGAAATTATATAAAAGTATAATATAATAACAATAAAAAAAACCCTAATTTTATTTATCAGTATAAATGCATACATGCTGTTAATTATTATGTGGCACATGTGTCAGAGATGATTAGGCCTCTTACATTGGACCAGTCTCCTGTCACCCATTCAGCCTCACATGGAACCTCATTACAAGGTCTTGTGGATGTTGGCTTAGGCTCCTTGCACATGTAGTCATGAACTGTTCTTACATGGTCTGCACCAAACTTTTGCATACACAGGTAATGAGCCTCTTGAACACCGCCCCCACATGTTGCTGAACAGTCCTTGTATACAACAAGCTGCCAACTATGAAAAGTTTATAATTAGATTCTAATTTCAGAGTTTATAAATATTCAAAAAAAATAAAAAATAATAAAAACAATCTAAAAACTATCAGAATAAATAAACCATAAATCAAAATCAATAAAGAATTTTTAAAAATTATTTGGATAGTTTCATATAGAAATGATATCAAGATACCACTTACGTTGAAGGACAAGGGATGTCGTTACAGAGCTCTCTGTAAATTGGCAATTTGTTGTTGATATTGCAGAAGACATCGCTTACATACTCAGATGATATGTAATCGTAACAAGACACTATTGATTCACGGTAACCTAAAGACACAAAGAGCACTGATCATTATCATCGTTATTATCATTATCATCACCACCATCATAATTATTATCATTATTATTTACATCTCCATCCTCCTCAAAAAAAAAAAAACAACATCTTCATCTTTTTCGCTATCATTTTCATCCATCATGATCCTTTTCTTTATCAACCTATTACTACAATCATTATTATTGTCAACACCATTAACAACATATTTATTGATTTGTTATTATGATTATTATTTTTTATTTTATTTTATTGTTATTATTTTATTGTTATTTGCATATTCTCAGTTGGCCTATATTATTTCTTTGTAAAGCGCATAGGGGCAATGTGCAATATTCGCTATATAAATATAACATTATTATTATTATTATTATTATTTATCTTCAACTAATATCAATATCAACTCACTACCATCACCATAATTTGGATTGTTTATAAAGCATTATGATCAGCCTCTCCACAAGAGTCATTGTTATAATCAACTGTCACAGTCACTAATACCGTATCATCACCGTATCATCAACGCACTCATACTAAGTTACCTCCAGCACAGGAGAGACTGCACTCAGTATGCCCGTTGAAGTGCCACATGTACTGTGGGATACCACCGCTACCATAATCACTTGTCAAGATGTTGTTCTCATCGTCTGTGTTGCATTTCGGTAGCTCACATGATACAGTTGTGGGAGGCTTTGGACCAGTGCAGTTGGAATCTGGAAGTATGGTGATCAACTGGGAGAACCCTGCTGATACCTCACAATTCACAGACCGATTCTTGACAGCTTCACCACAACTTGCACTGCAGTCACCAAAGTCACCTGCTACAAAACTATGAATGTAAAAAAGAGTTGCATAAACAAGCTTGTGTATTGTAAGAATATATGACAAAAAAATAATTATAAATAATAAAGCTTGTGTATTGTAAGAATATAGGACAAATAAAATAATTATAAATAATATAGCGTACGGAACTACTTGCTGTATTGAACTCACATTTCACAAAAACTTTTATATAACTACATATTGCATATAAAGATAAGATAAAATTTAGTGTCATGACCACAAAACAAGTTGACAATGAAATTACAAGTTCTTGTAATCACGCAAGCTCCGATGAGGCCTATATAGTCATTTGTACAAAATTAAAATGTTTTAAAATTGAAAAATAAAATGTATCTAAAAATTTAAGATGAAATATATAAAATTTGAATACCAAGACGCGATTCGAAATCACGTCCCTTAGAACAGAACCAATCATGCCATCCATGCATCGTTTTCAAACCTACTAGGTACCCACTTGTAAAATCAAGTATTTAGCAAACATTAGCCAAAAACAGTGATAGATAAAAGATGCAGTGGAACAGCTATGGGCCTGTTTCTGTGTTTTTTAAACGGTTATTAAAAAACATGTGTTTTTTCCCCAGTAGAAAAGGGCCACAAAACAAAAACACGGTTAGGAATGCATTCTAAAAAAGCGTGTTTTTACACGTATTCGTTATAGCGTTTGCGATCAGAAAACGCGTATTTTGTGGTACAATTTTCAGCTGCAACACAATGCTGTGTTAGTCATAACCTGTCGGTGACCCAAATTGACCTCTTCGTTGGGTTGATCGCTCGTCCGTGGTAGATTCGGGGCGAAGAAAAAAATTAAACCAATAGAATGACATGCTTGATCATACCATACTTTTTTCATACTTTCGTGGTGTGTTGTTTACTTCTTTCGCAGCATGCGCTGTAGCTCGCAAGAAGTATGGTCAGCTTCAACTTTTGTTGGTGACCGTTATTTAGGCTCCGCCCACCTGCCAATACTCGCATTACCGTATTTTTATTAGTTGCACTTTTCACTAGAAATGTGTTCAGAAGGAATTTAACCGTAAAAAAAACATGTATTTTTGGCGTTATTCAGCAGAAACACACCCTATGACCATTTACATGGAGATCTGAAGGTGGTGAGTGACAAGGAAAAGTGAGGGGCATTTAGTAAGGGGGTTGAGGTAAATCTACTTAAGAAAAACACCCAGTAATTCACTTACTGTGGGGCTGTTGCCTCTGGACCACTACTGAATGCCCCAGTATCAAGCTGAAAAAAGTCATCATCCTCCTCCTCTTCCAGTATCACCGTCCCTAGATGATTCATCAATTATAGGAAGTTAGTAAGATACAATCGAACTAATGTTAAACATATCAAAAAGGAACATTTTTTTAATTAAATCAAGTGGGTAATAGCTACAGTATATATA